AAAGATAATATGTATGATAAAAATTAAAAATATTTTGGTTTATAGGGGGGAACCCTCAAACCACCTCTTGTGTACACTACTGAAACCAGGTAATGGTATGAAAAGTAGCATATATATATCTATATATATGGCTACTTTTCATACCATTATACATTATATATATATATATATGGCTCTGAAATTATTTGAATACCTGTTGGACATCAGAGCCGGCCTAGCAGTTTTGCAGCCCCGGAGAAAAATGGAAAATGCCGCCCCTTCTCTAAAACAAAAAATTATAATTAAAAAAGATAAATTGTTTACAAAGATACACACCTGTAAAACTTGAATAAATCTTGCGAACAAAAAAGGCAACATAACTATATTATATTTATATATATATAGGCTTATTCTCTACAAACAACAGATACTATCCAACAATCACATTCGAAAAACACATAGACAGTAGGAAAATCACACAATGAAGGACATATGAGTAACCGAGATTAAAAATTATAAAATGGATGCTGCAGTGTTATAAACATTGCTGACTTAGGACAGCTAATATATAAAATAATTTATATAAAAGTGGGGTTGAACATGTTTTTGGGCCAGCCAACCTTCCCCCTTTATGTAAAAAATACTGAGCAAAAACCAATTGAAAATAACGTATATATATATAGAGAGAGAGTTTTTAGGTAAGTTACCACTATCTTGTAATGGATTTAGATATTCCTATCCTTTACTTTCAATAGGTTTTTGCTCAGTATTATTTACATAAAGGGGGAAGGTTGTCTGGCCAAAAAATATGTTCAACCCCACTTTTATATGAATTATTAAACATATTAGCTGTCCCCTAAGTCAGCAATGTTTATAATACTGCAGCATCCATTTTATAATTTTTAATCTCGGTTGCTCATGTGTCCTTCATTGTGTGATTGCCACTGTCTATGTGTTTTTCGAATGTGATTGTTGGAGGTTTATCTCTTGTTTGTAGAGAATAAGACTATATATGTATATAGATAGATATATTAATTTAAGTCAAATACAAAATAATTCGAAATAAGTTATTCGTTATTAATTCAAACGAGTAAAATGCAAGAGAAGGAATCACCCATTTCAGCATGCCAATTTCTTCTAAAGAGTCTATTGATATGGTGGGGATCACAAATGTTTATTTTATATTATAATAACCACACTTCAGACTAAAATAAAACATCTCCTGTGACTCTCTATCTCCAAAAAACTCCTTTGCCCGTCCTCCTTTGGATAGCTGACACCGGTTGTCGGATGGGTGAAAGGAATGTCCGTAGTGACCCCACTCTGGGATGAGGATAAAGTTATTAGCAAAAGATGTGTAAACATATCAAATTATACGTTTGAACATATAATCCCGCATCGAGTTCGTAAGTTTCAACATAAAAGAACCCTGACATTAAGTATAAAATATGGGAATACCAAATTTACACCCAATAGTATTTCAGAAAATGTAATGTATAAAAAATTTTATAACAAAAAAAATTTTTTTTTTAAATTGAATTAAATGCAACCCCGGGCAGGGGTCCTGGTAGTCAGGCCCTAGATCCGGCCCTGTGGACATGTTAAATCTATGGAAGCTTTCCCTTGCGTGGTTAGTTAAAATTTTAAAAGTACATACGTAAAAATATGAATTAGTATTCAGACCAGACTTACATTGACTTTACATTCGCACAATTATACGTGTAGTGTTTGACTTCCTGTTCGGCGTTTTCAGGGTCATTCTTTTTAAAACTTTGTGTTCCATGTATTCGAGCTTGATTTTTTAAAAGAATTCGGTTTTATTTTTCCTTATGTATTAGAACACTTTAAGAAATTAATGAAATTTTATAACTTTTTCAAAATTACAACCTAGTACTTCCACCCTCCCCCCTCCAGTGTGGATTTTAAAGTATATATTCATCTTCAAAACAAGGCTTAGTTCACTTGAATCAGAGAATGAGCTAAATTCATGAGTGTCACATGATAAAGACAATTACGTGTTCTCCATTGAATTCAAACCAGACTTTAAATATGTACTTGTTGTTCTACTTGAAAACATGAGATAAAATTTTAAATTTGGTTGTTTGGTAAAAATGTTCACGTAGTAAAGTTCTTCAAAGTAAAATTTAAAAAGAAATTTAAGTAAAATTTAAAAATAAATACTTTTACTATACATTTATTTTCAAATCAAGTCAATTTTATGAATTATAGGTACATTGTTATATTTTACAATATCTTATCTGCAAAAAGCAAAAGTTGCCAACCGTGCAGCGTACGAGCTGATTAGCTGGAAACACGTGTTTGTAGTTATCATGTGTCTATGACGTCACATGAATTTGGCCTATTAGTGTCTGTGAAATAATTCCATTTATGAACACATGTCGAATCCGAAATGCTGTAAATCGTTTGTTCACTTTACGTGCACAACTCGCATCGTCCTGTTGCCACAAATGTCGTGGCTATACTGGCGCAAAAAAGAAACAAAACATAAGCTCGACAGCAGGGATTAAAAGTATTTCTAAATGAATCGAACAAAAAATAAAAATAAACCTCAAAATGTTCCTGTTAGTGTGTATTTTTAGTTAAAGAGTTTGATATGATGTGTCTGAATATTTATAATTTAATAATTTTTTAATTAAATTTAGTGTTCTACTTTTATTTTTTAAAAAAGAATGAATATTTTTCATTCAAATCAATATATTTACTTTAAATTATTTGAAACAAAAGTTCCTTTCCAAATTATTGAAAGTATTTCTATATTTAATTCCTTTGGAAAATATAGTTAGTATTATTAAAAAAAAAATTCCATTAATTTCCTAATTCTTAGAATTATTTACGTAGAACGGTTTTCACATTCCATAATTTTCGTCTTTTTATATAGATCGATTGTTACTTTGATCGTCATTCTGTTGTGTATTGGAACAGCTCTGGACTCCTATTTGAGCAGAAGAAAAGACGACAATGGAAAACCCCTCCCTTTAAGTACATTATTTTGCAAAATTTAGTATTACGTTAAAAAATAGATAAATAAAACGAATATTGAAAATTATAAGTTTAAAACTACTAATAAATACGTCTAAAATTAATAATAAATAGCTCAATAATTTCATTACAATTTTTTTTTTTTGTTTTTCAAAAAATACTCCTATTTTTTGAAGCTAAATCTTTTTTTCTAGATATTTTTCAACAGATATTGCTGGCATTTTCTGTATACACCAACGCCCAGAAACTATGCTCATTTAATAGCAAGAGCAATGAGATGAAGAGTCTACATGGAATCCGTGCTTTGAGCATGACTTGGGTGATTCTAGGCCACACTTACATTTGGATCAATTTTCAGGCTCTAAGTGAGTGCGAACAACTTTTCTTTCTCTAAATATCTAACAAAAAGAAGGAAAGAAAAAATGCATATCGAATACTTCAGTAGTCTTCAAATGTTGTCAACTTTCAGAATCCTTAAAATTAAAGGGTATTTTCGGGGAACCCCGTCCAAAAAAAATCGCCTTAGAAGAATGTATCTTAAAATAATATTTAAAGTAGAATCTACAAGTTATAGGTACTTTAAGTAAAGATAATTAAAAAATATGTTGTTTTGAAGTGTTAACTTCTTTAGGCGCATTTTGCTGGAGAATGGACTTTAATGATGCGTTTTAAAAAGCCAAGCATTGTTACGCTCGGGTTTGTAACAATCGTAAAAATGGTAACAATACTACTGAATGGTAACAATACTACTCGTAGCAATACTACCGAATCATTTGGATTTAATGAGTCGTGTATCGGAGAAATGTGTGCAGCGAAATGTAGATCTGGAAATGGACAGATAATTCTAATGTGTGGTTACTATTTATATTTCACCAAATCAAAGTGTAGAGAAAATTATCGAATTCATTCACAAAAATTTAGTTGCCTGCACTGAAGCCGGATCATCTCTTCTGAACAAATTGCCAGAATTATTTTAAATGGAGATCTTAATGTAGATATTTCAAAAGACAAATCAAAGCCTTTAGTAGGTTTTTTTAAGATCAAAATTTAATTTAATTATGTCAAATGATACAAATGAAAGCACGACAAAGTACGGAACAACGCTTGACGGAGTTTTTTTTAGATATTTAAATTATTTTGAATCTAAAGTATTTATAACCTATTTCAGCTACCATAAACCTATTGTTTCCTTCTTAGAATACTATTGATTCACAAATATGATTATATATTTCACAAAAATTATTACTTTATGAGTACAGACATATGAATGAATAATTTTATAGGACAATACTAATATCCCCTTCTTTTTTATTCACCAAACTAATCCCTGAAATAACATTATAAAATTTGAAGCTATCACTTCTATCGTGTGGTCATAAGCACACACATTTTTTTTTTATTAAAAATTTTAAACATA